GAGAACTCTCCCAGCAGAAACTCAGCTAAATGCTGCCGTGATGAAACTCCACATCATGTTCCAAACCACATCAAGGATTCTCTCTGAAACAGGATGGAGCTCAAACTCTCTCTCTCTCTCAGGTTTACCACAAGGTGACTTCCTTTTGATTTCCTGCTTCTTCACACACACTCTCTCCAGTACAGGTTAGCTCTGAGTGTTAGCATGCTAATGTAAACACAGACCATATTACTTCCAGAACACGTCTCATTGTTTCTGACAGCAACGTTTCTGATTGGCCAGTGGGCGTAAAGCCCGCCCACATTTTAGTAATGTGGTCATGACGCAGCAAATCTGGATCAGCTCCGTTGTTCCCCCGTTTTTAGAGATGTGGGTACGGAGGAGAAGAGAGAGGGGTTTATTTCTGACACTTTGAGAGTCTCCTGACACACGGGGGACACACCGGGGACACACCGGGACACACCGGGGACACACACCGGGGACACACCGGGGACACACGGGGGACACATGGTGACACACCAGGACACACCGGGGACACACCGGGGACACACCGTGATAATAATAATTTCAATTTCTATAGCGCCTTTCACGAAACCCAAGGACGCTTTACAATGGGAAGTAACAAAACAAAAGTAATAATAATCATACAGATACACAGGCTGAAGAAAACAAAACAGGAACAGGTTGCTGAGTACTGTATATTAGTTGAGGCCAAAGGCCTGAGTGAACAGATGGTGTTTGAGGTGTTTTTTGAAGGTGTCCAGAGTGTCTGCATTCCTGATTGCAGAGGGGAGAGGATTCCAGAGGGTGGGGGCTGTGACACTGAAGGCTCTGTTGCCAAATGTTTTCAGCTTGGAGTGCTGGATGGAGAGCAGCCCTTTGTCGGAGGACAAGGTGACGAGAGGGGGTGTAGGGCTGAAGGAGGTCAGAGATGTATGGAGGGGCTAGGGAGTGGAGAGATTTGTAAGTTAGCAGGAGGAGTTTGTACTGGATGCGTGACTTGACCGGGAGCCAGTGAAGGTGGAGGAGGGTGGGGGTGATGTGTTGCCAGGGCTTAGTGTGGGTGAGGAGCCTGGCTGCAGAGTTCTGGACGTACTGGAGCCTGTCCAGGGCTTTGCTGGTGACCCCGAACAGAACTCCATTGCAGTAGTCCAGACGAGAGGAGATGAAGGTATGAATGAATGTTTCTGCAACGGGGTCGGGGAGAGAGGGCCGGAGTCTGGAGATGTTTCGTAGGTGAAAGAAAGCAGTTTTGACAGTAGACCTGATGTGGGAGTTGAAGGTGAGGCTAGAGTCCAGAGTGACGCCCAGGCTGCGAACCTCAGGGGAAGGGTGGATGGAGCCGCCATCGATGGTGAGGAGCAGATCTCCAACCTTCCGGAGCAGTGTTTTTGGGGCCACAACCATGAGCTCTGTTTTGTTTTGATTGAGTCTCAGTAGATCTGTTGACATCCAGGTTTTGATGTCGTGGAGGCAGTTGACTACTGACGGTGGGGGTAGCTGGGATGATGGATTCGTACTGATGTAGAGTTGGGTGTCGTCGGCATAGGAGTGGAAGTTGAGACCATGTCGGCGGATGATTTCACCGAGGGGGAGCATGTAGATGTTGAATAAAAGGGGGCCGAGCACCGAACCTTGCGGCACACCTTGGTTGACAGGGGCTGGGGGAGAGCTGTATTTTCCGATGGTCACAAACTGTTGCCTGTTGGAGAGGTAGGAATGGAACCAGGAGAGGGCTGTACCAGAGAGGCCAAGGTAGACGGATAGGCGGTTGAGTAGGATAGTGTGGGAGACTGTGTTGAATGCGGCGGAGATGTCCAGGAGGATAAGGATGCTGACGAGGCCTGAATCGGCGGCTATGAAGAGGTCATTGGTTATTTTAATAAGGGCCGTCTCTGTGCTGTGGTTGGATCTGAATCCTGATTGAAAGGGTTCGTAGAGCTCATGGTCGGACATATGATGGTGGAGTTGGGCAGCAACTGCTCTTTCCATGATCTTGCTAAGAAAAGGACGGTTGGAGATCGGACCGGAAGTTGCTGGGGTCCTCGGGGTCGAGACCAGGTTTTTTGACGATGGGGGTGACAGCTGCTATCTTGAGGACGGCGGGAACCTTGCCTGATTCCAGGGAGGAGTTGATAATTTTAACAATGGTGGAGCAGAGGATGGGTAGGGCAGAGGGCATGGGGTCGAGGGAGCAGGTTGTAGCCTTAGCTTTTGAGACAAGTTTGGTAACCTGCAGGTGTTGAGTTGAGCGAACAGTGACTGGAGGTGGTGTGGCATGTGGATGGGATGGGGCAGAGGCCTGGAGATCCTGGTGGATGGAGTTGACTTTGTCCTCAAAGAAGTCAAGGAACCTGGTGCAAAGCTCGGGGGCGTCTGCTGGGTTGGGGGGGTCAATTGAGCGGAGTAGGCGGTTTATGGTGGAGAAGAGCATACGGGGGTGGTGTTGCTGGTTATCGATGAGGGAGGAGTAGTAGTATGCCTTAGCTTTTGAGAGGGCGTCCTTATAAGATTTGACATACTCTCTATATGCCTCCAGATGGACTGTGAGGCCAGATTTTCTGTGGAGCCGCTCCAGTTGGCGGCCAGAGGCTTTCATGGCACGGAGACTGGTGGTGAACCAGGGGGCTGAGTGGGTGAAGGAGACAGTGTGAGTAATGAGGGGGGCAAGTGAGTCGAGATTCTGGGAGAGAGCAGTGTTATACTGGGCTACCAGTCCATCAACCGAGGTGTCGGGGGGATCGGAGGCCAGGTGGCTAGCTATGAGGCTGGTTATGGCTGGTGCGCTCACTGATTTTAAGCTCCTGTAGGTGATTGTCCGCAGTACAAGCTGTCTGGGGAGGGCAATAGGCACAGTGAACAGGATGGCATGATGGTCGGAGACAGCCAGGTTGAGGCACTGCAGGTGGGATGCAGTTGTGCCAGTGGGACATACCAAATCCAGGGTGTGGCCGTTGGCGTGGGTGGGATCATGGACATGCTGTTCAAAATTGAAGCAGTCCAGAAGTGCCAGGAAGTCAGAGGCAAATGTGCAACAGGGTGAGTCCGCATGAATGTTAAAGTCTCCAAGAAGGAGCGTAGATGGGGACATGGAGCAGGTGGAGGTGAGAAGCTCAGATAGTTCCGATAGGAAGATGGCAGAGGCTGAGGCTTTGGGGGGGCGATATATAAGAACAGCCTGGAGCTGTGCAGATCCAGATAGAGTGAAGGCAAGACATTCAAGTGAGGTGGTGTTGGGTACAGGAAGCTCTTTGATCGAGATGTCTGCCCTGTATATTACAGCCAGCCCACCGCCCCGACCAATGGAGCGGGGCTTTTGGAGGTAGACATAGCAGAAGGTGTGGCTTGGTTGAGTAATAGGAAATCCTGTCCAGTTTGCCATGTTTCGGTTAAGCAGAGGAAGTGAAGTTTATGATCAGTGATGATGTCATTGATCAGAGATGCTGTTTTGTTCAGTGATCGAACATTCTGCAGCATGAATGTTGCATTGTTGTTTGTAGTTGTTGAGGCAGAGGGGGTGAGTGGGCTGATGACGTCGATACAGCTGAGAGGTCTCAGATTACAGCTATGCACGTAGGGTGTGCTCTGATGACGTTGGCGATGTGCGACGGACCGCCTGTCTGTCTGTGTGGTGGGGATGTCATGGTCAGAGTTGACAAACTTGCGACGTGCAGCCCTATGCACATAGCGGGGACGGCGAAGGAGTCCAAGTGATTGTATTGTAGTGAGGCAGTTAGGAGTGTTGTGGCAGACAAGATTCCACATTTGCAGAGCGGAGTATTTCCAGAGAGCCATGTCAGCAGCACAGAGGAGCAGCGGCTAGCTACGAGCTGCTAAGCAGGGGCTAGGCGGCAGCTACATTGAGAAGCCAGCAGTGGCTAGCATCTATCGACTGTGTACCTATTACACTTACACATTCTCCGACAATCAGCTGTCACTGCTAGCCGACGATCGGCTGTCACTGCTAGCCGCCATTCAGCCGCTAGCTCCTGCGTAGCTACCGGGATCTCTGGAGCACCATTTCCTTCTCAACATCCCCAGTCTGTCCCCTCAACTCAGCTGCTACCCAGTTTCTTGTTAGCATTTCACTGCAGACAGTTATGGTAGCTAAAGATGTAGAGAAGACATCAAAAAGTGCATTTTGCCCTCCAGAAAAACGCGATTATGCGATCGCATAATTTATCACATAATCAGCTAAATGGCGCAGCTTTTTAAAAGAGCGCATATTTATCAAACGGCTGCATAATCCCCGCATTTTTCCACACAAAGTTGAGAAAAAAAAGTTAACTCGTCTTGACGTGAAGTGATGATGATGAGAGAAAACACCAAGATGAAAAAATCTAATCCATCTCATTTACCGACGAACATTTCTGCTAAAGACAAAGCAGTTTCCCGATGTCTTGCACGAACGTGGGGGGAAACTATTCTGCACCCCGTGCAACTGTGTTGGAGCATAAGAGAACATCGACGGTGACGACCCACTTTGATTCATTCAAACATTCCAAAATGCTTTCTGCTGCTGCGGACAAGAAAGCCAAACAACTCACGTTCACCGAGGCATCGACCTCCAAAACCCTTTGAGGGCTACAAGAAACGAGGTGAGAAGCCTACAAGATGGAAGCTGGTCAGATAACGAGTAAATGAAAACAGAATGAGGCGGAGAAGTGTGTGTGTGTGTGTGTGTGTGTGTGTGTGTGTGTGTGTGTGAGAGAGTGTGATTAAAATAGCCCAATTGCTTTTACAATAAATCAACATTGAATGTGTTTAACTGAATAGTAAAGGGGTTTAACGTTAGTGGCAGGTTGTGTGTGAGAGAGAATAAGCCCAATATTTAAAAAAAAAGAATATTTCGCATATTTCGCAACTTCCCGCAATTTCACCGCATCAAATCACATAAAAACCCTGCATGTTTAATCGCATAATCAAGGATGTTTGCCCGCGTTTTTCTGGAGGGTCTAGATATGAGACCTTTAAAGCCTCTGAGTGTGTGCAGTACTCACGGCCTCCAGCAGTGGGCGGCCGACACCACCCACTCGGGGTGAACCAACGTCCCCCCGCAGTAATGACTCCCTTTATACTGCAGGGAGGCCTGGTATTTGACAGAGTACGGCACCACCTCCTGCCCCCCGATGATCCTCGACGGTTTGCCCTCTGCAGGCGGGACTGTTTGGGAGAAAGGGCGGGGTAATGCAGGTCAACAGGAACAGCAACACACCAATTCATAGGGGACATATTTAAAAGTGCTCCGAAAGGAATACAGACTCCTGGGATCTTGTTCTAAACACCTGTAATGTGCAATATATACACTTATTTTGGCTAATCTACTATATTTTGTTCCTGTAAATTTGAATTTGAATTTCAACCAGTACATTTTATTTCTATTGAGATGTTTACATTTTGGAATGTTTATTTCTTTTAATTTTGAATGTACGATGACATGTCATTTTATGCTGCAACGCGAACATTTCCCAAATTGGGATCAATAAAGTCCTTCTTATCTTATCTTAAAACATCATTTGTATAGCATCTCAAACCTTCAAATGTTCCCTTATCTATTCACATGTGTGCTTTTCTCTATATTTAACATGCTATTTCATTCTTGCTTGCCTTCCTACCTGCTTTGTCCCTTTTGTTAAAACACTGTAATTGTCCCGCTGTGGGATTCTTAAAGAAGTTCTGATTCTGATATGAATTAGGAGGAACCTATTTGATTTATAAGCAAAGTCCAAATATAAAACAAATCAATTGTATTTCAAACTGTAATTAATCTGATAACTCAAATGTTAATTGTATAGTGAGTGTGATACAATACCTTCAATTCTGTATACTTGTATAATGTGTATTCAATATCTATACTCTATAGATAGATAGATTTGACACAGTTGACCACCAAGTGCTCCTTACAAAGCTGACCCATTTCAATTTCTCGGCAGTTTCAATACATTGGTTTAAGGCTTACTTATCGAACAGAACACAGTGTGTTTTGGTAAACGGAGCCAAATCCCCCTCCCTTGTGAACCCTGTTGGGGTTCCACAAGGTTCCATTCTTGGACCGTTACTGTTTTCTCTGTACATTAATGACTTGCCTAATGAATGTCCTGATTTGAATGTGCAAATGTATGCCGATGATTCGGTCACCTTTGTACACGGGAAGAACACTGAAATTATCTCATCCTGTCTCTCAAGTGCTTTGGGCGAGGTTCACCATTGGGTTAATGAGACCCTTTTTAACTGTCGATGCTGCAAAGTCAGACCTCCACTGTGTGATTCTATCCCACATTGTTGAATACTGTTTGACAAGCTGGTCGTTTGCTTGTGCCACAAACCTGAAACCCATAGAACAGCTGTTCAAGAGAGCTGTCAAGGTGTTTGACAGAAAGCCACATTCATACCACCTCTGTACCATCCTTGATGAACACCATTTCTTGAGTTTTGACCATTTTAAGTCTTTTAAAAGTATGTGCTTTATTTCTAAATGTTTACATGGACTGCCCCCCCCCCCCCCCCCCCCCCCCCCCTCTCCCCTTAGGGGAATTCATCCACAGAAAGCACACTGGACGCTGCACTAGGTCAGAAACCAGAGGAGACTGTGAAGTCCACCGTAGACGGACCACTTTTGGACAAAATGTCCTCTCCATTAAAGACAGCTCATTCTGGAAGAGCCTCAAAACATAATACCAGTAGAATAATGCTGAAACCTTTCTTTTAAATCAGGGGTTTCAAACCCAAGGCCCGGGGGCCAAATCCGGCCCGTGACTTCACTTGATGCGGCCCCACAAGAGCTTGCAAAGAATATAATATGTTTATTATACGGTTACATGCCGATTTACAGAAGCACGTTGCCCATAGCTACATGTCCCACAATGCATCTCAAATTAGAATTTTTTTCTTAGAATTGGATTTTTTTTCAAAATATAATGCATTATTTTATATTAAATATTTATATATGTATTTTTATATAGTCTTAAAGTTACAACCGGCGCTTTGAGTGCAACCATAATGCTGATGTGGCCCGCGATGAAATTGAGTTTGACCCCCCTCTCTAAATAATTAGTTTAATAATGTCCCTTACCTGGAAACTGCTAAACTACCTTGTTATTATCGAGCTGTATTCCTTTTTAAATCTTATTAAGCACATAGTTATTCAAACGTACCTGAAACGGCGACGGCCAGAAGCAGCAGCACAGCGCAGCCTCTCACTGCCGACATGTTTTCACTGAACATCTGTGACAAAGAAACTGGACTTTTAATTACTTCGCATTAGATCCAAATATGTTTTCAATTCATACAAATTGTAAAAAAAGAAAAGAAATTCGCCACCAGATTTATTCTCAAAGGGTTTTACACATATTTTAATTTAAGTTACGGAAATGGAACAAAAAGTGAACAACCCAAGCTAAATCTTGGGAAACTGAATGTATCGTCATTTTAACCCATTTGTTAGAGATAACCCGTGAATATAAGTTATTCATTTTGAGCGTAGAGAGAAATGATCAGCTTACCTGTGCAGATTCTCCGCCTGCTCACCTGGCCCTGCAGCTGCCTTTTATACAGAGACTTGTCCTCGTTCACATCTTTTGTTGAAATTGTCTTTTGGTCTGTTTTGTTCAGAGGAATCTCACGCTGCAACAAAGAGTGTGACCTACAACGAGACAAAGTGTTCGCGGGTATTATCTCTGTTTCTAAGCTCTGCTCACCTGGGACATGGAGAACACAGAGAGATATGTCCAGGGCCTGATATGAGGGAGTTATCCTGAAGTGATTACTCATGATTGAGACACATGTGCGTTTCTAGTGGATACATATATATTTAAGTGACAAATGCCTTGTTAAAAGAAAGTTAAAGGGGACCTATCATGCAAAATGCACCTTTGTACGTCTTTTATACATGAACATGTGTCCCCGGTGTGTCAGGGAGCTCACCAAGTGTCAGAAAACACAACCCTCTCTCTTTTCCTCCATACCCAAATCTCTAAAAGCGGGGCTGCAGCGGATCTGATACAGATTGATCCAGATTTGAAATATCTCTGACGTCAGAAACAAGGAGCTCCGCCTATATGGCCAACTCTCCACCAATCAGGAGGGGACAGCCACGGCCATTGCCGTTCGAAAGCGCTGGAGACGCACACATCACATCAGACACTGGGAGCTCAACAGGTACAGCCAGTACTAGTAATTCCTTCTTCACCATCTCATCCACTACCACTGCTTTCAACTCTTTTTTTAACATCTGCCGGCTCACCTCAAGACCGAAGTGCCGCGCTATCTCCAGTAAGTCGTCCTTTTTACACCGGTCCAACTCCTCACAGGACGGCCAAACTAAGAACCATGCTAAAGTGAACGATGCCATACCTGAGTGTACCGCCCACACGTTTTACTCAGTTTTCAGCCACAATAACACCACCTATAACCCCCGGAATGTATTTAGATATCCCGGACGAGCCCCCACGGGTTACGTTCCCTCTTTGCTAGGGGTAAAAAGGGGAAACGACACGACCAGTTTGTAATTGGTATTGGTTACCGGTGGGTTTATTTATGACTGCAAGTAAGCAAAATGATGTACACAAACAGCTTGGCCCAACAACGGGTCAAGCTGTCACTATCCAACAAAAGGGGTCTCCAAAAGAGAGTTGCCCCGTTATACAAAAGGAAAGAAAATCTCACTTCTAAAGTGGAAACAAAACAATAACAAAACGGGACTGTGTGGAAACACAGCTGTTGCTGATCAACCGGTGCTAATCACCGGGGTCTAAGCAATATACACAAATGCTGAGTTACAGGCGCTAAGCTAACCTGGGTCTAAGCTGTTTCACAATGTCACTAATCTAAATGCGGGTCTACAGGAGCTAAGCAAGCTGGATCTACGCAACACACACACACAAACCCTACACTAAACACAGAATACCACGACACACTGCTAACCAGTGTGCTCGCACAGAACCCTACAGAATATACTGCTAAGCAGTCTAACGAATCACACTGCTAGTCAGTCTACAGCAGGGGTATTCAACTAAAATTCAACGAGGTCCAGTTAGAGAAAATCTCCCCATGCAAAGGTCCGGAAACATCAAAATGTCTAAGTTGTTTTATGAATTAGATATTGAAGTAGCTGTAGCTGTATCAACGTCTGCATGTAATCAACAACTGACTGCCAATCAAATAAAGAAAGTACAATTCATAAACAACTATATTTATTGTCAATTAACATTGAATGATAAATGATATTGATAAAATGCATGATCTGTTTGGTATTTTGAAAAAAAAACTTCGCTGACATGTTTTATCGAGGTATGGCCCTACAATATATGTTTCAAATATAGCATGATAGGTCCACTTTAAAAGAAAGTTAAAATCAACAGTTCAAGCTCAATGGCTCAAACACAGGGGTGTCCAAACTACGGCCCGCAGTCCATTTTGAATCGGCCCTCAGCTAATTCAAGAAGTATAATGCAATACTTTCCTCAAATAAACTTGTGCTTGTCATGTATTGTACTTCTTAAATATATATGTAAATATATATGACACAGTATTCATGTGTTAAAAAGCCCACTTTTCAAATACATTCTGTCAATTGAAGTTGGAAAAGATGTCAAACAAATCTTAGTTGATTAAAAGAAGCCTAATAACTGATTTCCATAACAAGCTTTAAATAGACCCTTCATCTTTTTATAAGGCTTCTGTTTTAAGGAATGAGTTACTAACACATCTTTCAACTAAATAAAGTAAACCCTCTGGAGAGCTGGGATGTTTCTTAAAGCATCTTCAAGTATCAAGCATCGACCTACATTTGATTGATTTTGCTAACTTATAACTGAACTGATAAGGCAGTACACCTCTAGTGAGCGGCCCAGCCCTTCGTATGTGTTTCTGTATGTGGCCCTCAGTGGAGACAGTTTGGACCCCCTGCTTTAAAGGGACATGCACCAACCAGTAAGCCCGGGAAATGACTACAATAGAGACGGAGTGTCTCCAGAGAGACAGAACTAACAGACACAGCACAGCCTGCTGGAGGAGGAGCTGGAGGCTTCTCTGTATCTGTTGTGTTTCCTCTCTGAACGCAGAGCGGCTGAGAGTTATTGTATGTCTGCTCAGCAGAGTGACTCTGGTCCAGCAGAGCAGGGAAACTGTTGGTTTGTACTTACATTATAATAATGGTGCAAATCCCTCATGATTTCACTTTAACGCGTGAGGGGATTTAAAGAGGTGTCATCGTGCTTCTTCAAAACCACCTTTCAGTTATTCCCAGAACTACTTGTTGAACACCCTGGGTAACAACTCCTGCATATTAAAGAGCAACTCTGACTCCGACTCCGACTCCGACTCCGACTCTGACTCTGACTCTGAATCATTTGTGAGCGCTCAGTCTCATGATGGGCTTTCTATCTGATAAGAAGGAGCTCCATGTCGACTCGGGTCCTCCCGGGGATCCTGGGGGACGAGGACATGATCCTGCTCCTCCCTGATAGGAGTAACCTCCATCATAGGGTCCTCCTACAGGAGGAGGAGCCTCCATCACAGGGTCCTCCTACAGGAGGAGGAGCCTCCATCACAGGGTCCTCCTACAGGAGGAGTAACCTCCATCATAGGGTCCTCCTACAGGAGGAGGAGCCTCCATCACAGGGTCCCCTCACAGGAGGAGGAGCCTCCATCACAAGGTCCTCTTACAGGAGGAGGAGCCTCCATCACAAAGTCCACCTACAGGAGGAGGAGCCTCCATCACAGGGTCCTCCTACAGGAGGAGGAGCCTCCATCACAGGGTCCTCCTACAGGAGGAGGAGCCTCCATCACAGGGTCCCCTCACAGGAGGAGGAGCCTCAATCACAGGGTCCTCCTACAGGAGGAGGAGCCTCCATCACAGGGTCCTCCTACAGGAGGAGGAGCCTCCATCACAGGGTCCTCTTAAAGGAGGAGGAGTCTCCATCACAGGGTCCTCTCACAGTGAATGAACATGTGACAGTCTGTCCTTCAGGTCATGTGACCGTCTGTCCCTCAGGTCATGTGACCGTCTGTCCTTCAGGTCATGTGACCGTCTGTCCCTCAGGTCATGTGACCGTCTGTCCCTCAGGTCATGTGACCGTCTGTCCCTCAGGTCATGTGACCGTCTGTCCCTCAGGTCATGTGACCGTCTGTCCTTCAGGTCATGTGACCGTCTGTCCCTCAGGTCATGTGACCGTCTGTCCCTCAGGTCATGTTACCGTCTGTCCCTCAGGTCATGTGACCGTCTGTCCCTCAGGTCATGTGACCGTCTGTCTCTCAGGTCATGTGACCGTCTGTCCCTCAGGTCATGTGACCATCTGTCTCTCAGGTCATGTGACCGTCTGTCCTTCAGGTCATGTGACCGTCTGTCTCTCAGGTCATGTGACCGTCTGTCTCTCAGGTCATGTGACCGTCTGTCGCTCAGGTCATGTGACCGTCTGTCCTTCAGGTCATGTGACCGTCTGTCCCTCAGGTCATGTGACCGTCTGTCCCTCAGGTCATGTGACCGTCTGTCCCTCAGGTCATGTGACCGTCTGTCCTTCAGGTCATGTGACCGTCTGTCCCTCAGGTCATGTGACCGTCTGTCCCTCAGGTCATGTGACCGTCTGTCCCTCAGGTCATGTGACCGTCTGTCCCTCAGGTCATGTGACCGTCTGTCCCTCAGGTCATGTGACCGTCTGTCCGTTAATCCTAATAATAATCTGTGAATATTCCTGTTAAAATAAGATAGAGGCACTTTATTGTTCCCAAACAAGGCATTGCACAAATTAAAGTGTAGAAATAAACAATACTAGAAATATTTGATCACACCTTTAAAATACTAGTATTTATATTACTTGTATTTTGAGCGGACATTAAACCAATACACGTGTGCTGTTTTAAAAAGTGCTGGTTAGAGAAAATACTTTTTACTTTATTATAACAGGATTTCTGAATTATTGGCATGAAGTCTCGGACCCTCATATGATGTGTGACATACTCGTATGGTAGTATTTTAACAAATACATTCCTTTATGAGTCCCATTCAGTGCAGATGTACTGCTAACATTACATATTTGCTTTTATTTATCTTCATTTCTCTCATGTGTATATAAACATACTCTGAATGCTTTTTTGTCAATAACAGTTTAGTGTATTTGCGTTAACACCCAACACTTGGAGTAAAGAGATATATTTATAAAAACAGAAACTCCCCGTTGATCAGCTGATGATATTCTTGCATTTTAGGGAAATCTTCAAAAGGAAATGTTGATTTTTGTAGAAGTGAGGCCAGTGTTCCTGGCACTGATAAACAATCTGAGACACTCGTCTCGTGTTACAGAGAAGCTTGTTGTAAGCGAGACAGGATTCTGACTCTGGGACATGAGAAGCTTCCAGATCCATGTTTAATGACGGCTGGACCTCGACATAAGCAACACATAAAGTCCTGTAATCAGAGGGAACCCTCGTTAGTGCTTCCTGGGGAAACCTCCTCTCGTTGAAGACACCACATCGATAGGAGCTTCACTCACAAGCAGCAGGTGGAGAAAACCTTTATAATATCACCATGAAACTTCCCCTCATTACTCAATCCAATCCACTTTATTTATATAGCACAGTTTAAAATCAGAGGGTTTGCCAAAGTGCTTCACAATGAACATAACATTATAATAAAATATAATATTACACGAATAGATAAAAGGCACACATAAGAAAATATAAAAAGCACAAATAAGAATAAATACAAGGCACATAAAGGCTATGGACAGACAGTAAAAGCATACTAATAGGTACACTGTAAAATGTTTGACTGTAAAATTACAGTAAATTACTGGCTACTAGTTGCATGGATTTCACAGTAATTGACTGTGAATATTTGACAGTAATTTACTGTAGATATTTGACAGTAAATTAGAATAAAAGTACAACTAAATACTGTGACTTTACAGTTGCCATGCCCATGGAATTACTGTGATATAGCAGTAGGCTACAGAGCTGTGGTATTATGGTACCTTACTCTCCATAAAGTAATGCATCACAGTAGCCAGTCATTTACTGTAAATATAAAAATGTAAATAATACGATAATATATTGTAAATCTGACTGGTTCACTGAGATTTTACCATAACTACACAATTCAATCAGCTCAATCAACAAAGTAAAACAAAGAAAATGCCCATTTTAACTTTGTATTACTCCATTGAAGTGCAAAGTACATTTCACAGTGTCTTGGACAAGTTGTTACGGCCCCAACCTCTACTCCGCGTAGTGGCTCATGCTGAGACCCGCAACATGAAAGAATACACGCAATAACCGGTACTTGGTAACGAGCATTTATTGATAATCAGCCGTTTGCTCACACAAGCAAAACGGGAAACAAAAAGAGGTCTGGAGGACTGGCCAAAAGGAACAAACAGAAGGAGGGAACCCGAGCCAGCACACCACGGCCGTAGGACCAGAACTCCCCCCCCCCCTAACAAGAAATCAATTATAAACCCTATGGGAAACAAAATAAAGCCGCGAAAACTGGTTTGTTTATATTCTTACGTGTTGATTGGTGTATGGAGAAAAAAGGGGGACCCAGGACAGAGCCTTGTGGGACCCCATTGGTGATGCATCGCTTACTGTTGGTGAATTTAGGAGACACCTGTAGATACTAATAAACTGTTCTCAGATCTCAAAGTGTTTGATATCTGAGCAAAAGGGATTTTCTTTCAAGATCTGAGGTTAAACCCAGAATTCTGACTTTAGAATCAGAAACAGGATTATTACCGGATAGGTCAGCACGTACGAGGAATTTGACTTGGTGTTGTGGAGTACAAATAAAACAAAAATGTAAAACACAAATAGAAAACGATTTGAAGAAAATAGTAATAACCAGGGGCGTTGTCTGGGGTAGGCATCCGGGGCTTTAGCCCCGGATGTTTTTTCTTTAGTCCCCGGACAAATTATCCCTCAATAATATAATACATTAACCTACTTTACCTATAGGACGGACGGCAGAATTGTAATTTCCCATGTTCGGTGAATGCAACACAGAGGCAAGACGACGCCACCAGACCAATCAGAGAGTTGCATGGAAATAAACATGTTTTATTGGCTGACAGGTACGTACCTCTCCTCTGTGAGAATGTTTAAACTTTAAACTGTCAGCCCCGGACGCGGAGATTCTGAAGATGGACATAAGACATTTTGTTAATAAAAAAGACGGCAATTCTCAAGTGGTGGCTCACACAACAACCCCAGAGCCACCACCTGAGCCAGATGAACAAGGTATGTATCTGTCAGTAAACGTAAAAGTTATGCGAACATGTAACAAGCATAAATTAAATAAATAAATTACAGCTACGTTGACATGACTTACCTGGCTTCCTTTATTTATTTATTTGGTTTGCCCGTTGATTGTCTGTTTGTTTTGTTTGTCCACCATGTACAGCGACCTTGGGTCCCTTGAAAGGCGCTATATAAATATCATTTATTATTATTATTATTACTTTGAATCGCGCGGGTAAGCTAAACCGTTAGCAAGTAGCTATAGCTAGCCAGATATATTAAATAAACACTTTGTCATACAATATAAATGTTGTGTTTTTTAGCGTTACCTTGGTGATTTCAAAGAAAGCTCTCTGGGAAATGTTGACTTACTGTCAGTGTTCGACATGAAGCTAGAAGCTACCTTACAGTAGTACACAGTTGATCCTGATTCATGAGTCCTAGGGAAGGGACACTATGCTCCCAAATATTAAGGCTTAAAATTGATATGATCAAAAAATGATCTGCATTGTCGGAGGCCTTTTTTCCTCATTATCATGTCAAATTGTACAGCTTTCCTTAGTGTTGAATGCAGAAAGATGACTATATTAGAGTATTAAGTGAAAATGACTATATTAAAGTGTTACGTGAATATATTAAGTGAATTACTCAAACTGCATTTGTATAGGATTGATTCTGTCCTATTGGCAGATAACTACTCTTAACAGTGATATCTACAAGAGGTTTCCAATGTAAATGTAACTATTTTCAATTGGTTAGTATTACATTTTGTGACAGTGTGGTGACACTCATTTTAATGAAATGACATTTGTGTATCTTGAAATTCATTTATTTGACAGAGCTGGAAACTGATTGACTTAAAATACCTGTTTGTCTTTACCGTTTGTCATCACAGATGAGCCAAACAGAGTAGAGGATGAAGAAAGGAGAACAGGAGAAAGGGACACACAAGAAGGAGATACAACAGATAAGAACAACAATGAACAGGAACATCAGAACAGACAAGAGTCAATGGGTAACTGATTTAGGGACTGCAGTAGAAAATTCGACTGTAGCGCCGCCACTGTGGGCTAAGCCCCGAATGTTTCCAGGTCCAGGCAACGCCCCTGGTAATATAACATAAAAAAGATATAAAAAAATATATTGAATTATAGCAGTATTCACTTTGTTGAATAATTTATTCCCAGACCTCAAAAAAGATTTGCCTTTTGGTCCGATCTCAAAGGGAAACGTTATGTAGCCCTAAGCCTCTTCTGTAATATACACATGATCAGGCTTTTGGATGTTTTCTTTCCAGTTGTTTGGAAACACCCAGCAAGAACATCTTAACATATACTAGTGCATAACAAAGGCTGTTGAGTCTAATGAAATATCATGGATACATCACAAAGTGTCAAAACTCTCACCAACAATAATACCCCTTAAAGAGTTACGTATCAACCAGGAAGGATGGAATACATGGGGGGGTTGTGCATGTCATCAGGAAATGATAAATGGGTGCTTCACCTCTGAGGGCTTCCAGTAAAACGGTGTTAAGGTGAGACCGCAGGGAGCTTCAATTATACATCGTCCAGGACGAGGAGGTGACAGAGGAGACGGAAAGTATAAGAAACCTGAGCATCACACTCAGGTGAGCTGCACTCAGGTGAGCTGCTGCTGAACATGGACCTGCCATCTCTACTGCTCTGCGTCCTGCTGCACGCCCTGGCCGTCCGCTGTGAGTACAACTATATTCTGATTCACATTAAAGAGCCTCTGGGGAACAGCTCAAGGATCCAAGGATCCAAGGATCTAAGGCTTTTATTGTCATTTGTACAGGTAAATCAAATAGAATAGAATATAATAGTGCAGAATAGTCTATAAGTAATATATATATATATATATACATATATAAGCCAATGGATCTGTTAGACACAGTGTGGAAAGGATCAGAAATATAGGAAAATGTCCAAAGAGTCCAAAGTGATGTGTTCAAATCTCCAAAGATGTTCAGTTGGATGTGAAATCAAACAGAGCAGCAGCAGATGTCCAGTTTGGAAAGGCTGGACACTTTAAAGGCATTTCTGAAGGACATGTTTTGTGTCGGCGATGCACTAATCAATTAACTGATGGACCGTGAAGCATGCTGTCATGGACTGAATGTGTTTTAGCATCCTTACTCTCTGTCTGTTAAAGGGTCATCACGGGCTCTCCCCGAGACGCGCTGTGATTCAGAGCCACAGATTTTAATCTGAAATCTCACTGACAGGAATATAAGAAGGGCAGAAGAATGCAGATTAACCCTTGTGCCCTCCTCGGGCATTTAAAGGGTTAAAATCCAGAACATTGTTGAATGTTTAGTAGTTTTGAGTACGAAATAAGTTGTTTAAGTAATTCATGAAAAAAAAAGTAGAACAAAATATTGATGTATGATGATTTAATAGCAGTTATTATGGGCGTGTACATTTTTGCCACGAAGGGGTCGAAAGGTTGAAAATTCGAGGAGGGCACAAGGGTTGATTCAGAGCCACAGATTTTAATCTGAAATCTCACTGACAGGAATATAAGAAGGGCAGAAGGCTGCAGGTTAAACGAGAGCAGATTTCAGTTTCAAAACGGACACAGCATTTTTATCTTTGTGATATCTTGAAGATGTATTCAGGTCGGCGTTTTGTAAAGGGATGAAAAGCTTTGTTTTGGTTTTAAAAAGTGCACATTTTCTCATAACATTGATCAGAAATCCTTCATTTGTCCAACAACAACAACAACAACAACAACAACAGCAACAACAACAAAGAGACAACGATGATGAAGAGGAATGGAAAAGTGGGAATGGATCATAAATAAAAGAAGCCTGATGAAAGCTAGCAGCCAGGGATAGGGTTCATTGAGTGGAACCTCCTGCAGAGTCAAAGATACCTGTGTGAGATTAGGAGCTTTTGAAAGGTCAGTAAAAGTGTGTCTTTTCACCAGAAGAACCTGAAACCCGAGGAACAACAGACCAGAAGAAACAATACACAAAACCAAGAGATCGCAGCCAACGCCCGCTTTTGTGCAACGGCAATTATTCCACAAAGATAACGCGTGAAAGGAAACTCCGATATCTGAGGCCGAACGCAAACACTGACGACGGGCTCTGCAGTTAGAGAAGTTATATTGACTTCTGCTCACATTACACCAGGGGACTCATTGTGTGTGTGTGTGTCTGTGTGTGTGTGTGTGTGTGCGTGTGTGTGTGTGTGTGTGCGTGTGTGTGTGTGCGTGTGTGTCTGTGTGTGTGTGTGTCTGTGTGTGTGTGTCTCTGTGTGTGTGCAGTTAGAGAAGTTATATTGACTTCTGCTCACATTACACCAGGGGACTCATTGTGTGTGTGTGTGTGTGTGTCTGTGTGTCTGTGTGTGTGTATGTCTGTGTGTGTGTGTGTGTGGTGTGTGTGTGTGTGTGTGTGTCTGTGTGTGTGTGTGTGTGTGTGTGTGTGTGTGTGTGTGTCTGTGTCTGTGTATGTATGTGTGTGGTGTGTGTGTGTGTGTGTGTGTGTCTGTGTGTGGTATGTGTATGTGTATGTGTGTGTGGTGTGTGTGTGTGTGTGTGTGTGTGTATGTGTGTGTGTGTGTGTGTCTGTGTGTGTCTGTGTGTGTGTGTGTATGTGTATGTGTATGTGTGTGTGTGTGTGTGTGTGTGTGTGTGTGTGTGTGTGTTGTGTGTGTGTGTGTGGACTAGAGTTACGGCTCCTGACACGCAGCCCTGCTGCTAATTATATCCCGGCTCAGTATCAGCATTGATTTTTATTTTCTGGGTCAGATGTTGAAACCTGAATAATTGTCTGATTGATGTTTTGATGGATCTCCTCAGAGAAGCGCCCTCAGTGGCAGCCAGGGGACTGACGGCTCGTATTATTGGTATAAATCCCAACGCGGTGGTTGAATAAGTTACAGAGCACATTTCCTCCTCTTCAGTATTCAAACACTGTGTTAGAGGAACACGACCCCTACATCATCATCAGGACATATTCATGGTGACGTCACCGGAAAGGAGACGGTTGAGTTCATCGGATTTTAAAAAGACATTTGCATGCGGCCAAAATAACACCAGAGCTAGCTGGACGTTACTGCTCTCTCATTCGCTCATGATGAATCCAGAAGGTAGTAAAGTCACAATGAAGTCCTGTTGGGGATCCATTAACAGATAGACTCTCACTTTCCCAACTCTTATCCATCCAGTCCTATGCGCACTACTTCAGAGACATTTCCATTAACCTTGATATCTCACACACTGGTGGTGCGAACAGAAACACTCTAAAGAACATGATGTGCATTCATGTAAAGCACATCCTGTTTGTGTGCTGGATAAAACAACAAGTCCTCCAACTCATACGACCAAATATGTCGTTTGTTCAAGCGCTTAATACGTCCTGCTCCCGTTGAATGCAAACGTTACAGATGGTCGTTTACTCACAAATAACCCTCTCTGTAAAATCCTAAATTGTAGGATAGTTTGGCATTAAAACACTTTTTGATTAGATTTCTAGCGAGAAGTGTATATTGTACTTTTAGAATCCACGTCCAGTCGATATGTAGGATCTATAGTTCCATAGATATTAGGAAGATGATTTGAGGTATGCGGCAGCCTCCATGTAAAGTTACGGGTTGAAAACAGTATTTCCGGTCTCGTCGTTTTCATAATAAAACCAATGATCAAATTATAACAGTGATATCTGCAGCACTCATCCACTAAACACATCAGTTTATCCTGGTTAATTATACGACATGTATTGGTTTAAATTGTGTACAATGCTTTTGTGTTTTTCTCTTTCGATTCTGAGGGACACATTTCTTTTTTCAGAGGTTTTGATAGGCTAAAATCAAGCCGCAATGCATGCAGGGATTTGGTGTTTATGCGAATCGGTAAAACATTTTTTTTAAATAAAATAATACTTTATTCCGAGTGTTCTTGCTTTTCTCTTTGGAAGTCATCACATAACGGCATTGTAATACACGGTTTGGCTGCATTAAATATTACATATCTGCCGTAGATATTTATTTATAGAGCCCTGATCAGAAGACCTTTTGACAAACAGGAAGAACTGCCGCCAAAACTGAAAACGTGACGTGGATCATAAATATATCAGCAATTAAACAACATCTTACATTTCTTTTCACACAATACGTCTCCTTGCAGTATCAACACTAATTCGGCTGACTTTTATATTTGATCCAATTGGTAGATAGGCTGTATTTACACCATAACGGTGCACAGCTGATAGAAAGGGACACCTGGTGGTTAAAGCACGTTATTGATTTTCTGAACTACCTTTCCAACTCCTCATGCAGTTGACTGTTACAGGTCTATCCAGGTTCATGGTACAATGCATAAGCTTCACATCGAGAGACTGAAACTGTGTTTTCCTTTACCGTTCTGTTTTCATTTCACAATAAAGTTAATAGTCACATTATGTTTGATATTATTATGTTTTATTAACTACACCACTGGTTTTTTAACCCGCGCCGCCTAGTGGTTAACGCACGTTATTGAATGTAGTTGTTGAAGAAGTTTTATTTGATGAAAACATTTAAATATTAAGAGTAGCCTACATACACAATATAAAATATGAAGAAGACACTGTAGTGATCTCTAAAACAGTTGAGTGCAGGCCGTCCAAAGATATTAACAGGAGGATGCAAAACAGACCAACTAGGCTTTATTTAAACATTAAACATTACTTTAAGGTAAGGTCTTCTTGAATAAGACAAAAACGTTGGGGTTATCCACAGATAAATATGAAGTCTGACAAAGTACTTAACGTCCAATATATTGCATAGTTTATTTTGTTACTTGTCAATCACCTTCCCTGAATTTGAGTCAGGTGCCGGGGGCTGGACCATGGATGTATGGGCTGGACCCGTCCAATTCCAGTTTTGGAAAGTCTGCCGTGGCTCCATTCCATTTCAAAGAGCTGTTGACGCTCAGCGTAACCTTGCCGCACTGCCACTCCAACATCCAATCACAGGGCTCGATGACTAATCACAGGGTTTGTAAAGCAAGGCGGATGTTGTAGTCCCAAACGATAGCTGGGGATTCTGGGTAGTGTAGTGCCTTCGGAAACTGTAGTGTCTAAACTCCTAATTGTTTCTCTGAATCGAAGGTTAAAAACACAAAAGCATTGCACACCATTTAAACCAATCAATATTGTGTAATTAACAAGGATAAACTGATGTTGTTTAGTGGATGAGTGATGCAGATATCACTGTGTAATCATTTGACAGTGAGGGAATATATCCGGTTTTATTGTGAAAACTTAGAGACCGGAAAAACAGTTTTCACCCACGCTAACTTTACATGGAAGCTGCACACGTTCTCCCGGCGAAACCTCAAATCATCTTCGTAATATCTATCAAACTATAGATCCTACACATCCACTGGACGTGGATTCTAAGAGTACAATATACACTTCTCGCTAGAAATCTAATCAAAAAGCATTTTAATGGACAAACTATTCCACAATTCAGGATTTTCCAGAGAGGGTTATTTGTGAATAAACGTCCCTTCGGAGCGTTTGCAATGAACGGGCCGGGAGCATGTTGTTTCTTACACGACCACTAGAGCACCTCTAGTGGTCGTGTAAGAAACAACATGCGCTTTAAAACGTGTCTCTGGGTCGTAATAAGGGCATGAACAATCGACCTGTCTGGTTGATTTTTGTAGGAGGACTGGCTGGGACAAAAAGAGTGAAGGGATTATTTTGGGGGATTGAAGGTGAGTCTTTTTTAACAATGGATGGTTTCGTGTTCCTTGAGCAGATCATGATGGTCTCCTCGCTCCGGATCAAGGTTCAAGGTTTTTATTTAGTCAGAGCTACAGTGTAGTCATGCCGATGGAAATCTGAGGTCACAGGCTCCTCCATTAACAGGGAGGGAGTAGAGCAGGTTTCACGTTTTAAATATTTGGGGATTTATTTTGATGCTCAGTTAGGCTGGGCTCATCAGGTGGATCAGGTATGCTCAAAGATAAGCCAGCGCCTGCATTTCCTGCGTCGGCTCAGGGTTCATGGAGTGGATGAATGCATCATGTTAATGTTCTACAGGCAGCAATGGAGTCTATTATTCGTTATGGCATCACAACATGGTTTGGTAACTTGTCAGCTAAATCTAAATCACAACTCCAGAGCTTGATAAAAAGGGCTGGAAACATAATTGGCGTGCTTCCACCGTCCTCTCTTCAGGAGATATTGGAGGAGATGGTGAGAAAGCAAGGCCGTCAAATCCCATGCGACCCCAAACACATCCTAGAGAGTTTGAGCTGCTGCCCTCGAGGGCAGAACGTATAGATTACCAAACTGTAGATTGAACAGGTATAAGTTGTCCTTTGTTCCGCTGTCGATCAAGCTGCTGAACAGTCAGGAACAATTGTGATTATGCTGTTAGGAGTTGTTGGGAGGTGCAATGTTTACAGTGTAGTTTGTGCAATCGAGAAGGTTAAATAGGGGAAGTGCATTATGGGTAAATAGGTATGGACACAATAGGGAAAGTGCTGTACCTGTATGTTTCTTGTTTCTTTGCCATGTGATCTGTGATCTCTGCTCTGTGTCTATGACTGATTGACCTGAATGTTTTATGTGTATTATCTCGATGCCCAAGACACATGTCTCCTAAGGGAGACAATACAACTCTATCTTATCTTATCTCCCACAGAGCAACACAACAACACAGATACACAGACACATATAGTGCAGGTAAATAGTAAATACAAAATTATTTTAAAAGTGAAATAGTGCCATAAGAGTCTATATGCAAGTGATTGGAATTTGATATATTGGATAAATATATTCTAGTATCTAAGTAGCAGATGAATGTTATGGATGTTGTTTCAACAGCTCAGGTGTTCAGCAGCCTGATGGCCTGTGGGATGAAGCTGTGAATGTTCCTCTCTCTGTGAATCCTCTCAGAACATCCATAACATCTGTTTGAAACTAATAGATATATATATATATATATATATATATATATACATATTCCAATTACTTGCATATAGACTATTCTTGCACTATTTCTATTATAATCTGTTTTATTTGTATTTTCTTGCACTATTGTATCTGTTTTATTGTGTTGCACTGTTGGAGGAGCCTAAGATTTGCATTGCCATAACTACACTGTAGCTCTGTACAAAGGTCAATAAAAGCCTTGAAGCCTTGAAGCCTTGAAACCTCTGTGATCCCTGTCTGCAGGTCAGAGCGCTCGTATCGTGGGAGGCTACGCTCCGGTGCCGTACCTGATCAACTACATCGTTTCCATCCAGACGACTCAGAGGCAGCATGTGTGCGGGGGGGCGCTGATCAACAAGCACTGGGTCCTCACCGCCGCGCACTGCAACATCGGGTAATCCATCATTATCTATCATTTACATCCAACCAGTGCCCTACGGTGGCCAGCAGGTGCTAACACAACGTCCCAAGTCTCTCCATCAGGAGAAGCAGCTTCAGACAGGAAGCAGATACAAAACCCAAAGGTTCCACACGAAGAAACATCTTCACAACATTAGTGTCCCCTGGTCTCCCAGCTGTGTGCGTCACTCTTTAGTGTCCCCTGGTCTCCAGCTGTGTGCGTCACTCTGTAGTGTCCCCTGGTCTCTAGCTGTGTGCGTCACTCTTTAGTGTCCCCTGGTCTCCAGCTGTGTGCGTCACTCTTTAGTGTCCCCTGGTCTCCCAGCTGTGTGCGTCACTCTTTAGTGTCCCCTGGTCTCCAGCTGTGTGCGTCACTCTGTAGTGTCCCCTGGTCTCCCAGCTGTGTGCGTCACTCTTTAGTGTCCCCTGGTCTCTAGCTGTGTGCGTCACTCTTTAGTGTCCCCTGGTCTCCAGCTGTGTGCGTCACTCTTTAGTGTCCCCTGGTCTCCAGCTGTGTGCGTCACTCTTTAGTGTCCCCTGGTCTCTAGCTGTGTGCGTCACTCTTTAGTGTCCCCTGGTCTTCCAGCTGTGTGCGTCACTCTGTAGTGTCCCCTGGTCTCCCAGCTGTGTGCGTCACTCTTTAGTGTCCCCTGGTCTCCCTGCTGTGTGCGTCACTCTTTAGTGTCCCCTGGTCTCCCAGCTGTGTGCGTCACTCTTTAGTGTCCCCTGGTCTCCAGCTGTGTGCATCACTCTTTAGTGTCCCCTGGTCTCTAGCTGTGTGCGTCACTCTTTAGTGTCCCCTGGTCTCCCAGCTGTGTGCGTCACTCTTTAGTGTCCCCTGGTCTCCAGCTGTGTGCGTCACTCTTTAGTGTCCCCTGGTCTCCCAGCTGTGTGAGTCACTCTTTAGTGTCCCCTGGTCTCCCAGCTGTGTGCGTCACTCTTTAGTGTCCCCTGGTCTCCAGCTGTGTGCATCACTCTTTAGTGTCCCCTGGTCTCCCTGCTGTGTGCGTCACTCTTTAGTGTCCCCTGGTCTCCCAGCTGTGTGCGTCACTCTTTAGTGTCCCCTGGTCTCTAGCTGTGTGCGTCACTCTTTAGTGTCCCCTGGTCTCCCAGCTGTGTGCGTCACTCTTTAGTGTCCCCTGGTCTCCAGCTGTGTGCGTCACTCTTTAGTGTCCCCTGGTCTCCCAGCTGTGTGAGTCACTCTTTAGTGTCCCCTGGTCTCCCAGCTGTGTGCGTCACTCTTTAGTGTCCCCTGGTCTCCAGCTGTGTGCATCACTCTTTAGTGTCCCCTGGTCTCCCCGCTGTGTGCGTCACTCTTTAGTGTCCCCTGCTCTCCCAGCTGTGGTGCGTCACTCTTTAGTGTCCCCTGGTCTCTAGCTGTGTGCGTCACTCTTTAGTGTCCCCTGGTCTCCCAGCTGTGTGCGTCACTCTTTAGTGTCCCCTGGTCTCCCTGCTGTGTGCGTCACTCTTTAGTGTCCCCTGGTCTCCCTGCTGTGTGTGTCACTCTTTAGTGTCCCCTGGTCTCCCAGCTGTGTGCGTCACTCTTTAGTGTCCCCTGGTCTCCCTGCTGTGTGCGTCACTCTTTAGTGTCCCCTGGTCTCCCTGCTGTGTGTGTCACTCTTTAGTGTCCCCTGGTCTCCCAGCTGTGTGCGTCACTCTTTAGTGTCCCCTGGTCTCCCAGCTGTGTGCGTCACTCTTTAGTGTCCTCTGGTCTCCCAGCTGTGTGTGTCACTCTTTAGTGTCCCCTGGGTTGCATTCCAATAGTCCATTTAGCTTAGGAACCTTCCTAACGGAGTGAAATGACCCGGAAGTACGTCACTGGCAGCCATGATAAGTGCCGTTCCAATTCTCCAAATGAAAGGAAAGGAGGTTTCAAACTTCCTTTATAACCTCCTTTAGCTTAGGAACCACTGGACCTCCCTAACCGAAAGGAGAGGAGAAAATGCTGCCCCACAATGCATTGCAGCCGCAGCATTTGCCATCACAACAGTCGGCCGTTCACGGAAACAAACGATTATGACGGAGAAATGATATCATGAAAGTTACGGTGCTTATTAAGCTTTTTAAAACGTATGTGGTAAGTTGCCAAAGTGCTTTGTTTTGAACGTTCATCAGTATTATAATCAAAAAGAGAAATATGAACGTTAGTTTTTACTGAAATGATCAAATAAAGTCAACATCTCACAGTCTTTACTGAGCTGTGTGGAGTTTGTTCAACTTTTAAAAGATGTTTGAATGGTGATATACACAGTGATAGATGTTAAGGACTAACGTTTATAATAAATACATCTGTATTGATTTTAAGATCTTTTCATCAATCATACGTATTGGGATCATTTGTATTAATGTGGACCGGAGGGAGAGGGGGACGAGCAGAAGCTTCACTTTCCTTTTTATTTCAATTCCAGCTTTGGTCCTGAAGAATCTGTTTCTCTGTTGTCCCCGTTCATAAAGCATAAAGCAACAGCATCAGAGCACAGAGTCTCTAGATGAGTTCACAGGAGTCCCTCGTTCTTATTGAACATCCATGTTGTAGTCCGCTGTATAGAGAACTGTAGTCTCCATAGTTTCCCCACAGCAGCAGACGCTCATTCAGGACATCCGCTGGCGCATCAGAAACACGTCGGAAAGTGAAAGTGCAGTCGATTCTCTAAAGTACCGCAGTCTCTTCTCCTAAGTCCTTTTGAATTCTCCTATCCACTATCCCTTAACCCCGTGACGTTTCACTCAGAGGTCAAGGAATAGGAGATAGGGTTAGAATTTAGGAGCTGATTTTTGGATTATCGGAACGCAACCCTGGTCTCCCAGCTGTGTGCGTCACTCTTTAGTGTCCCCTGGTCTCCCAGCTGTGTGCGTCACTCTTTAGTGTCCCCTGGTCTCCAGCTGTGTGCGTCACTCTTTAGTGTCCCCTGGTCTCCCAGCTGTGTGCGTCACTCTTTAGTGTCCCCTGGTCTCCAGCTGTGTGCGTCACTCTTTAGTGTCCCCTGGTCTCCAGCTGTGTGCGTCACTCTTTAGTGTCCCCTGGTCTCCCAGCTGTGTGCGTCACTCTTTAGTGTCCCCTGGTCTCCAGCTGTGTGCGTCACTCTTTAGTGTCCCCTGGTCTCTAGCTGTGTGCGTCACTCTTTAGTGTCCCCTGGTCTCCAGCTGTGTGCATCACTCTTTAGTGTCCCCTGGTCTCCCAGCTGTGTGCGTCACTCTTTAGTGTCCCCTGGTCTCCAGCTGTGTGCGTCACTCTTTAGTGTCCCCTGGTCTCCCAGCTGTGTGCGTCACTCTTTAGTGTCCCCTGGTCTCCAGCTGTGTGCGTCACTCTTTAGTGTCCCCTGGTCTCCAGCTGTGTGCGTCACTCTTTAGTGTCCCCTGGTCTCCAGCTGTGTGCGTCACTCTTTAGTGTCCCCTGGTCTCCCAGCTGTGTGCGTCACTCTTTAGTGTCCCCTGGTCTCCAGCTGTGTGCGTCACTCTTTAGTGTCCCCTGGTCTCCAGCTGTGTGCGTCACTCTTAGTGTCCCCTGGTCTCCCAGCTGTGTGTGTCACTCTTTAGTGTCCCCTGGTCTCCCAGCTGTGTGCGTCTCTCTTTAGTGTCCCCTGGTCTCCAACTGTGTGCGTCACTCTTTAGTGTCCCCTGCTCTCCTCTGTGTCCTGATGGACCTCAGCACCCTGCTCTCCTCTGTGTCCTGATGGGACTCAGCACCCTGCTCTCCTCTGTGTCCTGATGGGCCTCAGCACCCTGCTCTCCTCTGTGTCCTGATGGACCTCAGCACCCTGCTCTCCTCTGTGTCCTGATGGACCTCAGCACCCTGCTCTCCTCTGTGTCCTGATGGACCTCAGCACCCTGCTCTCCTCTGTGTCCTGATGGGCCTCAGCACCCTGCTCTCCTCTGTGTCCTGATGGGCCTCAGCACCCTGCTCTCCTCTGTGTCCTGATGGACCTCAGCACCCTGCTCTCCTCTGTGTCCTGATGGGCCTCAGCACCCTGCTCTCCTCTGTGTCCTGATGGACCTCAGCACCCTGCTCTCCTCTGTGTCCTGATGGACCTCAGCACCCTGCTCTCCTCTGTGTCCTGATGGACCTCAGCACCCTGCTCTCCTCTGTGTCCTGATGGACCTCAGCACCCTGCTCTCCTCTGTGTCCTGATGGACCTCAGCACCCTGCTCCTCCTCTGTGTCCTGATGGACCTCAGCACCCTGCTCTCCTGTGTGTCCTGATGGACCTCAGCACCCTGCTCTCCTCTGTGTCCTGATGGGCCTCAGCACCCTGCTCTCCTCTGTGTCCTGATGGGACTCAGCACCCTGCTCTCCTCTGTGTCCTGATGGGACTCAGCACCCTGCTCTCCTCTGTGTCCTGATGGACCTCAGCACCCTGCTCTCCTCTGTGTCCTGATGGGACTCAGCACCCTGCTCTCCTCTGTGTCCTGATGGACCTCAGCACCCTGCTCTCCTCTGTGTCCTGATGGACCTCAGCACCCTGCTCTCCTCTGTGTCCTGATGGGCCTCAGCACCCTGCTCTCCTCTGTGTCCTGATGGACCTCAGCACCCTGCTCTCCTCTGTGTCCTGATGGGCCTCAGCACCCTGCTCTCCTCTGTGTCCTGATGGACCTCAGCACCCTGCTCTCCTCTGTGTCCTGATGGACCTCAGCACCCTGCTCTCCTCTGTGTCCTGATGGGCCTCAGCACCCTGCTCTCCTCTGTGTCTTGATGGGCCTCAGCACCCTGCTCTCCTCTGTGTCCTGATGGGCCTCAGCACCCTGCTCTCCTCTGTGTCCTGATGGACCTCAGCACCCTGCTCTCCTCTGTGTCCTGATGGACCTCAGCACCCTGCTCTCCTCTGTGTCCTGATGGACCTCAGCACCCTGCTCTCCTCTGTGTCCTGATGGGCCTCAGCACCCTGCTCTCCTCTGTGTCCTGATGGACCTCAGCACCCTGCTCTCCTCTGTGTCCTGATGGACCTCAGCACCCTGCTCTCCTCTGTGTCCTGATGGACCTCAGCACCCTGCTCTCCTGTGTGTCCTGATGGACCTCAGCACCCTGCTCTCCTCTGTGTCCTGATGGGCCTCAGCACCCTGCTCTCCTCTGTGTCCTGATGGACCTCAGCACCCTGCTCTCCTCTGTGTCCTGATGGACCTCAGCACCCTGCTCTCCTCTGTGTCCTGATGGACCTCTTTGTAAAGAAGTCGACTCGACAGTAAAGTGAGACGGCCCGTTGACGTGTGATCTCTCTGGACGTCTCTGCGTGTTAGCGCTCAGGCGGGAACAGGATCTCGTGATCAGGATCAGATAACAGGAGCAATGAGCTCTGAGCGTGAATCTGACAACGCCTCCAGGATCCTCAGAAACATCTGCTCTGAGGGAACTGGATTCCATCTTTCAGAGGTTTTATTCTCACGAGCACAATGCATTCTGGGAATGAACAATCGGAAAGGCTCCAACAACAAATCTATACTTCACTGTTTGAGCTGTGCATGTGTGTAGACAATAACAACAACAACATAACAATAAACATTGATCCGTTTCCTCCCATTCCAATTTCACAAACGACTAACTCGCCTCAGGGTCTTTACAATCAACACAGCAGCAACACGCTCTGTCTTTAGACCCGATGACTGAAGGGTGGATCTATGAGCTGTTAGCATGGAATCTGACGTCTTGTGTTTGTTGTGATTCATCAAAACAAATGGATTTACATGATTTACTTAAAACTAGCTAATAGTTACCATAACTAAACCGGGAGGGTTTTGTGAGAAGTTATTTGAGATAATATGATTTAAAACATTCAGACATCAAATGTAATGCCTTAAAACATTCTGTAAGAGGTTTTCTTATTTAGTAGAAGTTTGTTTCATCAAAACTAATTCCAACAGCAATAAGATCAGCCTGTGATCTAAGCGATCACGAGATGTCTTCTACGAATAACAGTATCGTCTGCATAGAGTCGAATATCACAAGAGTGACGAGTCAATTATCTTTCTCTCTTGCCTTTAACTTCTCAATAGCTACGAGGACACTTGCCCTGTAGCTCAATACAATCTCTCGCTCAACACTTATTCGTCTCTACAGAATGAGCCACGGGAAAGAATTCAGGTGATTTTTAAAAGGTCTTTTTGCCTTTAATTAACAGTCGATTAAAGTTGAAGACGGATTACTTCACGACAGCCACAGAATTAATTAGGCTCCAATAAAAACACTTCCACGTTTTCATCCTTCTCGTTGTAAACTATCCCCTCTGTGCTCAGAAGCTTCAGCGCTAAAGCCTGCTAGAAACACGATTCCATCAACACTTTTCATTTATTTTAATCCATACGTTAAAGTACTATCCCTGCACTAAACGTACGTATGTGTCTCTGCAGGGTGAAGAACATGATGATAGTAGCAGGAGATTACTCTCTGGCCATCTATGAAGGCACAGAGCAGCAGATCCTGCCCCAGCTGCTGGTGCCCCACCCCGGGTACAACAGCACCAACACAGACAGCGACATCATGCTCATCAAGGTACAGCCGTTTCTGGTCGTTATCCGTGTCTGTGGTTGACACAAGATGAAGAGATCTTAACGCTTTGTTCTACGACTTAAAATACGTCAGTAAATACCCTACTGATGGATTTAAGAACGGTGATTGATAACACAAGTCTAAATGAGACGACTAAACGTCATTTCGCTTAACATTAGCCACCTTTAGCTTAGCGGTGGTGACGTGAAGTCATGTGACCGTGCTGTAATTCCTTTATAGCCCAACATTAGCCTCCTTTAGCTTAGCGGTGGTGACGTGAAGTCATGTGACCGTGCTGTAGTTCCTTTATAGCCCAACATTAGCCACCTTTAGCTTAGCGGTGGTGAAGTCATGTGACCGTGCTGTAGTTCCTTTATAGCCCAACATTAGCCTCCTTTAGCTTAGCGGTGGTGACGTGAAGTCATGTGACCGTGCTGTAGTTCCTTTATAGCCCAACATTGGCCACCTTTAGCTTAGCGATGGTGACGTGAAGTCATGTGACCGTGCAGTAGTTCCTTTATAGCCCAAAATTAGCCTCCTTTAGCTTAGCGGTGGTGACGTGAAGTCAAATGACCGTGCTGTAGTTTTTTTTATAGCCCAACATTAGCCTCCTTTAGCTTAGCGGTGGTGACGTGAAGTCATGTGACCGTGCTGTAGTTCCTTTATAACCCAACATTAGCCACCTTTAGCTTAGCGATGGTAACGTGAAGTCATGTGACCGTGCTGTAGTTCCTTTATAGCCCAAAATTAGCCTCCTTTAGCTTAGCGGTGGTGACGTGAAGTCAAGTGACCGTGCTGTAGTTTCTTTATAGCCCAACATTAGCCTCCTTTAGCTTAGCGATGGTGACGTGAAGTCATGTAACCGTGCTGTAGTTCCTTTATAGCCCAACATTAGCCACCTTTAGCTTAGCGATGGTGACGTGAAGTCATGTGACCGTGCTGTAGTTTCTTTATAGCCCAACATTAGCCTCCTTTAGCTTAGCGGTGGTGACGTGAAGTCATGTGACCATGCTATAGTTCCTTTATAGCCCAACATTAGCCACCTTTAGCTTAGCGGTGGTGACATGAAGTCATGTGACCGTGCTGTAGTTCCTTTATAGCCCAACATTAGCCGCCTTTAGCTTAGCGGTGGTGAACTCATGTGACCGTGCTGTAGTTCCTTTATAGCCCAACATTAGCCACCTTTAGCTTAGCGGTGGTGAAGTCATGTGACCGTGCTGTAGTTCCTTTATAGCCCAACATTAGCCGCCTTTAGCTTAGCGTTAGTGACGTGAAGTCATGTGAACGTGCTGTAGTTCCTTTATAGCCCAACATTAGCCGCCTTTAGCTTAGCGGTGGTGAAGTCATGTGACCGTGCTGTAGTTCCTTTATAGCCCAACATTAGCCGCCTTTAGCTTAGCGGTGGTGAAGTCATGTGACCGTGCTGTAGTTCCTTTATAGCCCAACATTAGCCACCTTTAGCTTAGCGGTGGAGACGTGAAGTCCTGTGACCGTGCTGTAGTTCCTTTATAGCCCAACATTAGCCTCCTTTAGCTTAGCGGTGGAGACGTGAAGTCATGTAACCGTGCTGTAGTTCATTTATAGCCCAACATTAGCCGCCTTTAGCTTAGCGTTAGTGACGTGAAGTCATGTGACCGTGCTGTAGTTCCTTTATAGCCCAACATTAGCTGCCTTTAGCTTAGCGGTGGTGAAGTCATCTGACCGTGCTGTAGTTCCTTTATAGCCCAACATTAGCCACCTTTAGCTTAGCGGTGGTGAAGTCATGTGACCGTGCTGTAGTTCCTTTATAGCCCAACATTAGCCACCTTTAGCTTAGCGGTGGTGACGTGAAGTCATGTGACCGTGCTGTAGTTCCTTTATAGCCCAACATTAGCAGCCTTTAGCTTAGCGGTGGAGACGTGAAGTCATGTGACCGTGCTGTAGTTCCTTTATAGCCCAACATTAGCCGCCTTTAGCTTAGCGGTGGTGAAGTCATGTGACCGTGCTGTAGTTCCTTTATAGCCCAACATTAGCCGCCTTTAGCTTAGCGGTGGTGAAGTCATGTGACCGTGCTGTAGTTCCTTTATAGCCCAACATTAGCCGCCTTTAGCTTAGCGTTAGTGACGTGAAGTCATGTGACCGTGCTGTAGTTCCTTTATAGCCCAACATTAGCCGCCTTTAGCTTAGCGGTGGTGAAGTCATCTGACCGTGCTGTAGTTCCTTTATAGCCCAACATTAGCCACCTTTAGCTTAGCGGTGGTGAAGTCATGTGACCGTGCTGTAGTTCCTTTATAGCCCAACATTAGCCACCTTTAGCTTAGCGGTGGTGACGTGAAGTCATGTGACCGTGCTGTAGTTCCTTTATAGCCCAACATTAGCAGCCTTTAGCTTAGCGGTGGAGACGTGAAGTCATGTAACCGTGCTGTAGTTCCTTTATAGCCCAACATTAGCCACCTTTAGCTTAGCGATGGTGACGTGAAGTCATGTGACCGTGCTGTAGTTCCTTTATAGCCCAACATTAGCCTCCTTTAGCTTAGCGGTGGTGACGTGAAGTCATGTGACCGTGCTGTAGTTCCTTTATAGCCCAACATTAGCCACCTTTAGCTTAGCGGTGGTGAAGTCATGTGACCGTGCTGTAGTTCCTTTATTGCCCAACATTAGCCTCCTTTAGCTTAGCGTTGATGACTTATTATATTATTTAATACGTAAACATTTATGTTCTTGCTGTTTGTATTGTTTATAGAAAATGTATTCTTAGTTAGTGTTGTTATTAAAGTAGTTTCTATGCTTTTATTTTGAAGGCATGTTTGGGCACCTGGTGTAATTGTATGTATTGGAGACAGGTGGACGAGTAGAGCACCAGGAGGAACATGTTTTTTTTACCAGGATGATTCAAGCCACAAGAAAGCCATAGGAAAGACTAAAGGAAAGAAACATAGGAAACCTGTTCTTAGTATTTGACATTCGATGGAATAAAATGCACAAACAGAGATTCTTGTCTGACTTGGATCATTGCCCTGCGTCAGATTCACTAACTGGTGCCTCAGCGTCCGTGTTATTTTAAGTTATTATCTGTTGTATTTCTATATGATTTTGGCCGCTATAATAGCTATATGCTCCTTTTGACCCCACTTGTCCCTGTGTCCTGCCCCCTGCAGCTGAAGGCCCCGGTCTACCTGAACAGCTTCGTCTCCATCGCCCTGCTGCCTCGACACGGCGCCTCCATCTCTGAGGGCAGCATGTGCCGGGTGTCGGGGTGGGGGTACACCAGCCCCAGCGGGGGGCAGATCCCCTCCACGCTGCGCACCGTCAGGCTGCCCATCGTCTCCTCACTGACCTGCAACAGCAGCCAGTCGTTCAACGGCAGGATCACAGAGAACATGCTCTGTGCCGGGTTCAGCATCGGGGGGAAGGACGCCTGCCAGGTGAGGGGTCACCTGAGGGTACCTGAGGTCACCTGAGGTCACCTGAGGGTACCTGAGGTCACATGAGGTCACCTGAGGGTACCTGAGGGTACCTGAGGGTCACCTGAGGTCACCTGAGGTCACCTGAGGGTACCTGAGGTCACCTGAGGTCACCTGAGGGTACCTGAGGTCACCTGAGGGTACCTGAGGGTACCTGAGGTCACCTGAGGTCACCTGAGGGTACCTGAGGTCACCTGAGGGTACCTGAGGTCACCTGAGGTTGACAGAATTTAAAAATAAAACCGGAAACTAAACACACTAAACTAAGAAGGTGACCCTCTGTGTTTCAGGGGGACTCCGGGGGTCCTCTGGTCTGCGAGGGCCGGATCTACGGCTTGGTGTCCTGGGGCTACGGCTGTGCGGACGCTCAGTACCCCGGAGTCTACACGGCCGTGTCCAAGTTCCGCCGCTGGATAGACAACACCATCTTCAGCTACTACAGCCGCTGCACCAGCGAGTAGACACAGCCGCTGCAAACCCCAAACAGATCTTTGTAGGCCCCCCCCTCTCTTCCAGCTGTTACTAAGGACATGTCTCTGAAGTGTCCTGCTCCAAACCCCAAACAGGTCCTTGTAGCGCCCCCCTCTCTTCCAGCTGTTACTTAGGACATGTCTCTGAAGTGTCCTGCTCCAAACCCCAAACAGATCTTTGTAGCCCCCCCCCTCTCTTCCAGCTGTTACTAAGGACATGTCTCTGAAGTGTCCTGCTCCAAACCCCAAACAGGTCCTTGTAGCCCCCCCTCTCTTCCAGCTGTTACTTAGGACATGTCTCTGAAGTGTCCTGCTCCAAACCCAAACAGATCCTTGTAGCCCCCCCCCCTCTCTTCCAGCTGTTACTAAGGACATGTCTCTGAAGTGTCCTGCTCCAAACCACAAACAGATCCTTGTAGCCCCCCCCCCCTCTCTTCCAGCTGTTACTAAGGACATGTCTCTGAAGTGTCCTGCTCCAAACCCCAAACAGATCCTTGTAGCCCCCCCCCCCCTCTCTTCCAGCTGTTACTAAGGACATGTCTCTGAAGTGTCCTGCTCCAAACCCCAAACAGGTCCTTGTAGCCCCCCCCCCCCCTCTCTTCCAGCTGTTACTAAGGACATGTCTCTGAAGTGTCCTGCTCCAAACCCCAAACAGGTCCTTGCAGCCCCCCCCTCTCTTCCAGCTGTTACTTAGGACATGTCTCTGAAGTGTCCTGCTCCAAACCCCAAACAGATCCTTGTAGCCCCCCCCATCTCTTCCAGCTGTTACTAAGGACATGTCTCTGAAGTGTCCTGCTCCAAACCCCAAACAGGTCCTTGTAGCCCCCCCCCTCTCTTCCAGCTGTTACTAAGGACATGTCTCTGAAGTGTCCTGCTCCAAACCCCAAACAGGTCCTTGTAGCCCCCCCCCTCTCTTCCAGCTGTTACTAAGGACATGTCTCTGAAGTGTCCTATTCCAAACCCCAAACAGATCCTTGTAGCCCCCCCCCACTCTCTTCCAGCTGTTACTAAGGACATGTCTCTGAAGTGTCCTGCTCCAAACCCCAAACAGGTCCTTGTAGCCCCCCCCCTCTCTTCCAGCTGTTACTAAGGACATGTCTCTGAAGTGTCCTGCTCCAAACCCCAAACAGATCCTTGTAGCCCCCCCCCTCTCTCTTCCAGCTGTTACTAAGGACATGTCTCTGAAGTGTCCTGCTCCAAACCCCAAACAGATCCTTGTAGCCCCCCCCCTCTCTTACAGCTGTTACTAAGGACATGTCTCTGAAGTGTCCTGCTCCAAACCCCAAACAGATCCTTGTAGCCCCCCCCCCTCTCTTCCTGTTGTTACTAAGGACATGTCTCTGAAGTGTCCTGCTCCAAACCCCAAACAGGTCCTTGTAGCCCCCCCCCTCTCTCTCTTCCAGCTGTTACTAAGGACATGTCTCTGAAGTGTCCTGCTCCAAACCCCAAACAGGTCCTTGTAGCCCCCCCTCTCTTCCAGCTGTTACTAAGGACATGTCTCTGAAGTGTCCTGCTCCAAACCCTAAACAGATCCTTGTAGCCCCCCCCCCCCCCTCTCTTCCAGCTGTTACTAAGGACATGTCTCTGAAGTGTCCTGCTCCAAACCCTAAACAGATCCTTGTAGCCCCCCCCTCCTCTCTTCCAGCTGTTACTAAGGTCATGTCTCTGAAGTGTCCTGCTCCAAACCCCAAACAGGTCCTTGTAGCCCCCCCCCCTCTTCCAGCTGTTACTAAGGACATGTCTCTGAAGTGTCCTGCTCCACACCCCAAACAGATCCTTGTAGCCCCCCCCCCCCTCTTCCAGCTGTTACTAAGGACATGTCTCTGAAGTGTCCTGCTCCAAACCCCAAACAGATCCTTGTAGCCCCCCCCTCTCTCTTCCAGCTGTTACTAAGGACATGTCTCTGAAGTGTCCTGCTCCAAACCCCAAACAGATCCTTGTAGCCCCCCCCCCCTCTCTCCAGCTGTTCCTAAAGAGCTGACTCTGGGTCAGTAGCTTCAGAGAGAGAGTAGATCTCATCAGGAGAACTCTCCCAGCAGAAACTCAGCTAAATGCTGCCGTGATGAAACTCCACATCATGTTCCAAACCACATCAAGGATTCTCTCTGAAACAGGATGGAGCTCAAACTCTCTCTCTCTCTCAGGTTTACCACAAGGTGACTTCCTTTTGATTTCCTGCTTCTTCACACAGACTCTCTCCAGTACAGGTTAGCTCTGAATGTTAGCATGCTAATGTAAACACAGACCATATTACTTCCAGAACACGACTCATTGTTTCTGACAGCAACGTTTCTGATTGGCCCGTGGGGGTAAAGCCCGCCCACATTTTTGTAATGTGGTCATGACGCAGCAAATCTGGATCAGCTCCGTTGTTCCCTGTTTTTAGAGATGTGGGTACGGAGGAGAAGAGAGAGGGTTTATTTCTGACACTTTGAGAGTCTCCTGACACACGGGGGACACACGGGGACACACCGGGACACACCGGAGACACACACGGGGACACACTGGGACACACAGGGACACACCGGGGACCCACCGGGGACACGCCGGGGACACACGGGGGACACACCGGAGACACACACGGGGACACACCGGGACACACCGGAGACACACACGGGGACACACTGGGACACACCGGGGACACGCCGGGGACACACGGGGGACACACGGGGGACACACCGGGGGGAGCGCGCCACAGCGTAAAGCATAAACTCCCAGACATTTATTGATTTGCATAGTTAGGTCTGGAACCGACATGAGGGCATAACACCGGAGCCCTGCTGCGGGGAAACTTTGGCGCTGTTCTGAGTTTCTAATCCGTCAAAATGACGGACTGCTTTCAGATTTTTCCGTTATTGTCAAAGGAATTGCGTCATAGACGGAATATATTCGGTTAACGCGACCTCTGCTTCAGACACACCGGGGACACTTAGTGATGTAGAGAAGACATAAAAAAGTGACTTTTGCAGGATAGGAGACCTTTAAAGACCTTTATATTCGATCTGTGCACATTTCGTTATTTGTATGAATAGTTTGACATGTCTGGAATCAGTTGTGGTTTTATGGGCTCTATATGCCGGGTGTCTGTTGGTGCTAAACTAAGCTAAGCTAAGCACCAAAGTGATTTCAAAGTGTTCCTTTAATGATCAGCTGTTTGATTAAACCCGGTTCTATAAGGTGCTGTCAACCTTCAGATCCCATCTGCACATTTCACTCACATCAAAAGAAATAATTTAAAGATGTTCTGAACAAAGTTATCATTTTGAATTTTTCAGAAAAAAGTAATAATGTTGTGATTTTTTTTGGAAAAAGTTAGAATTTTGAAGCAAGTTAGAATTTTACGAGGATTTGAAAAAAAGTTAGAAGATTGAGATTTTCTGAAAAAAGTAAAACATTTAAGATTTTGTGAACAAAGTAAGAATTTTGAGATGTTCATAAATGTCTCCTGAAGCTGCTGAGTGTTCTCTAGACGCTGCATGTGTTGCTGCTGACGATGTGTCTTCATGTGGAAACTTGTGTTCTGCATCCTTTCTCCTGATGGAAGAGCGATTGATCGTTGTGTGATCCTTGTGTTTCGTAACTCTTCATTCAAAGGACATGTCGACCACATTTACCACAACGTCAAGAAAGAGGTGCCATATTTGAAAGTCACTGCTCATGGAGAACATTTAGAAACACTGTAAGTGTGAATATAATGCAATCAGACACTCTTCACTTTGACTCCAACTGATTTGTGTGAAAATCAAATCTTTGAACATTTGATGATAAAAGTTTAACAAACTATTTCTGTTGATTCTTGAGAAAAAACAAAGATGTTTTCTTCTTGGGCCTCACAGATGATCTGATGCTTTCTGCTCCAGTGCTGTTGGTCTCTGGACCATGTGATCATCTCTATTGATATTAAAGGAATACCGATTAATTTCTCCTTCCATTCAATCTTTCCATATTAATGATATATTCTGATATGAAACACAACAAATACTGCCATATTGTATTTTTATTATTTGTAATGTTATAGTTTTCCATCTGTGTTATTTAATTTCAGTTTTACTTTTATGCACCACGACATCAAGTCACATTCCTCGTAAGTGGAGCATCCACTCTGGGCCTACATCAAAGGATAACCCCCCCCCCCCACACACACACAGACACACACACGCACAAACAGACACACACACAAACAGACACACACACACACAAACAGACACACACACAAACAGACACACACACAGACAGACACACACAAACATGCACACACACACACACAGACATACACAGCACACACACAAACATGCACACACACATACACACACACACACACACACACACGCACACAAACAGACACACACACACACAGACACACACGCACAAACAGACACACGCTCACACAAAACAGACACACGCTCACACACAAACATGCACACACAGACACACACACACACACAAACATGCACACACACAGACACACACACAGAAAACACACACACACAGTCACACACACAGCCACACACACACACACATTTTATACCAGCTGATAGCAACAGGTGTTTCTGCTCCATATAGAACACAGGATAGAATTTAAAATTCTTCTTCTCGCCTACAAAGCCCTTAATGGGCAGGCGCCATCTTATCTTAAATAACTCATTATACCCTACTGTCCTACTAGGGCATTGCGTTCCAAGAATGCAGGGTTGTTGGTTGTTCCTAGAGTCTCTAAAAGTACAATGGGAGCCAGAGCCTTTTCTTATCAAGCTCCACATTTGTGGAATCAGCTTCCAGTTTGTGTTCGGGCGGCAGACACCCTATCCGTTTTTAAGAGTGCGCTTAAGACCTTCCTTTTTGATAAAGCTTATAGTTAGGGCTGATTAGATCCAGCCCCTAGTTTTGCTGATATAGGCTTAGTTTGTCGGGGGACATCTTACTTCTTCCTTCTCTCTGTCTATACCTGTGTACTCTCATGTTCCGATTAACCCAGCTTCCCCAAATGTCTTTCTTTTTGGTGTCTATATACGCCG